ACGAGGATCCTCTCCTCCCCTTTACGGTTCACCACACATGGCAAACATGTAGGTGGATGTTCAGATCCCAGAGGAGGTAACTGAAAATACAGAACCTTCCCTGGAAGGTCCCCTCACCACATACAGGAATCCACCTTCGAGGAGTTTTCAAACACATAAGTGAGTACAGGTACCATCAGAATAACAAGTCGTTTCTCATTATTACATTTAATGGAAAAAAACATTCTTATTTATTTTCTATGCATAACGATGCAGAAAAGAGTAGTGTAAAAGGAAAGAGTACTGCACCAAAAATTCTTATTCTAATTTTCCATACAACTCTAACATCATAATGCTTAACACTGTAATGTACAATACTCCTTAAGAGCTATTTTCTTCTTCAACGATCGTACTCAATTTGATGGCAATGATTATGCATCATTACCTAACACCACAAAGCTTTAGGTTTCATTTTTTATTAGCCCTGTATTTTATTAACTACATTTACGTGTATTTTCTTGAACTTGGAACTTAAGACCAGTAAGACACCTTGAGCTTTAGTGGGCTAAAAACTGAACCTATTTGGAAAAGAGAAACATCTTACAGATTTTTCTTCTGAATTTGACTAACATTTTCAAATGCGATAAGGACAGGAAATGGTGTAGCAGTTAGTGTGCCAGAGACTGCAGATCAAAAGATACAGAGTTCAAGACATTATGGCACCAAACACTTGTTACAAATGTGACAGTAAACCATATTATCAGTTTAAAGAGCCCTTGTGATTATGTGTGTTGCTGGCTGACAGTCTAGTCAGAAGCTCAAAATTGAGAACAAATATATCTGAATTCTAGAAGTCTCTAAAACATTCAGTGCAGAGTGGTATGGTATGACTATTTTAAAACTTCATAGTGTATCAGTTATCAAGTTTTGCTGTTTCTTGCAGTAATTTGAGCAAGTAAGTATGAAATGTTTGTCTGAAATAGCTTTTATTGGTTTTTTCATAGCAATTACGTTTTAATAAACCATGAATAACATTACTATTATCTGTTATTTCTTATTTTCAGGCGTTTTGAATCAACTGTGAATAAGGTTTGTTCATCATAATACTTGAAATCTCCGACTTCACTTTTTTGAAGTCTGAAATGGTCTTTTCTTTTACTCCCGATCAACAATCAAATATCTTTTCTTGAATTATGAATATCACGAATGGATTGAAATATTTAATTAAATTATCTCAAAATAAACCTTCATTTCGGTGCAATACTGAAATTAGCTTGAATTCTTCATAACCTCTGAATAGTGGGTGACCCAACGGGTCACGGGTGGTCTAGTGTTTTTTAAAACTTTATTTTTTTTTCTATTGTGCTATGTCCCATAAATAACATTAAAAAACATAATCAGTAAGAAGTTTTATCCTTTTATTGATTTTTTTACAATTTCAACCGTTCATATTTATCTGTTGATGTAAAAACACAAGCTTTATACTTCATAGTATTATGGATGTAATCACAAATCAGCGGTTACGCTGCCAATGCCAAAATAACCAAATTCATTTCTTTGTTACCATTACTTAGTTCCCAATATGTATTTCAAACTGCTTAGTTATTGTTGAATGTTCAGAAGAATACATAGTTTACCAGACAAGTACTATTTAAGTGGATATGATTCAACCTGGATGAGTAATTAAAACAGATTTCCCTCCTAAACATTGCAACTCCTATACACACACACACACACTAGTCAATCCTTAAAACTTCACTCTACAAATTTAAATAACATAAAAAAAATGTTTCCAAAATAAAAATAACAAATTACCATAATTTGTGCTATTGTTTCAGAACAAGTTTTAAGAAAATACAATTTTTAAATGTATTCAACTTCAGTCACAATGTTCACAAAAACTACACAATTAACATCCAACAGAAAAATGTGATATCTATTCATTCAGTTCATCTGTAACTGATGCTGACAGTAAAGAGAAACAACAAAATTTAACGTGTCAAAAGTTCGGCTAAAGCCTTACGGATATAATGTTTTATTAGACACATACATATATATATATAACACAATGTTTTGATAAATGTAGAAAATGAAAAGTGCCGGTCTTGAAAGAAACTTCCTGTACAAGAACCATTCACTATAACAGAGTTCTATATACAAATTTTATCTTCCCACATAAAAACCTTCAATTTTTTTTTTTTAAATAGCAACAGTTTCCAAATTATGCTGTTGAAAAAAAAATACCATACTTGAATTCTTTGTAGATATAATGAAAACAAAAAACCATAATCAAACTAGTTAGAAAATGTGTCCACTGTTTCCTTTTTTTAAAATACTATTTTAAATTCCCGTTATGATGAAAGAGAATTAGCAAAACTTAATTGTAACAGATAACACTAAATGGTCAAAACAGTTTAAAAATCCATAACTTCTTTGAGGTACCCTGAAAAAGTTCAGAGGCACTAGAGGTTTTGTCAAAAAAAAAAAAGACTTGCTATTTTGGCAAAATGTCACCATTGTCACCTTTCATGTTGGTAGACTGTAATGAAACAATAATGGCTGGATCAAAAGTAGCAAGACTGCCTGGGTGTGAAAATGAGTGTAAAGCAGACATATGCAAACTATTTCCTGCAGTGGACAATCTATCAGGAGATGAGGTCATAGGGGGTGAATGTATCAGTGGGTTACCCTGGGAACCAGGTAGAGAATGCCTAAGAGGTTTACAAGGAAATGGTAAAGGTGAACCAGACTGATTTCCCATAGGTGCAGTGCTGTTATGATGAGGAACAAAACTGGTCTGAGGTTGTTTAGTAAATGGGGAAGGATAGTTATGATTACTGGTTTGCAAATGATTGAAATGTTCCATTAAAGGTGTTGGACCAGAAGGATAACTGGGTGCTATCTGAAATGGCGAATTTGGACAAGCAGTTGATGCAGATATAGAGACGTATGGTTGCGGCTGTTGAATATAAGAATCCTGTCCCTGAGAGAACCTCGGACATGATGGTCGCACTTGAAACCCAGGAGGGTGGTTTAGACGAGTCATAGAACTACCATTTCCTGGTCCTGTAGGAACAGCTTTTAGTTGACAAAAGGCTGGTGTGTGAGGTGTGTTCCTTTGTTGAACAAACAGGGAATCTTGAGGTTTAAACATCTGTTGATCAAAGGGTGTTTCCTGGGTCTTTTTTCTTTGTTGACCAAAGTGTGTTTTTTGGGCCATATTTCTTTGAAAATTAAAAGATTGCTCTTGTGGCATTATTTCTTGCTGATTAAAGGATGGTTCTTGAGACATTTGTTTCAAGTTTTGAAAGGAAAATCCATGGGAATTATTTCTCTGTTTGTTCTGCTGACAAATGATTTGGTTTTGGGTCATAGGTTTCTGATGATTATATAATTCTTCTTGGGATACGATTCTTTGTTGCTCCTGTTGAACATTAGTGGATGTCTGGGGTATGAACTTTTGCTGATTAAATGATGTATGTTGAAACATGTTCCTGTGTTGATTACCTGACCTTGTTGGACTTGTAACTTGTTGTTGAACCTGTTGATTTATAGATGGACTCTGGCCTGTAGGCTTTTGCTGTCTCTGTTGGTTTATTGATGATGCTTGAGACATCATTTTTTGCTGGCTCAAGGAAAAAATTCCAGGTGGCAATTGAAGATTGTTACCTTTTAGTACTTCTGGTGAAGAACTAGTGTTTCTTCTAGATTTTCCAGAAAGTCCTGGAGGAGTAGAAATATTGGTTGGGATCCTGGATGAATTTTTTGGTGTGCTCCAATGATGATGTTTTGAGGGTTCTAATAAATCTTGAAATTTTCTGCCTTCTGTATTGTTCAGCCTAGTTTTCTTCTGATATGCTGAAGAGTTCTCTTCTAAGGAAAAAAAATGAACCGACATAAATGTTGCATGTGAGGTCAAGGTTGATATTACTTTATCAAAACCACAAAGCTGGAAGCAAAATATTTACACTGCTTGGTTTTCTTTTAAATATTTAATGCCAAATTAGTTTACTAAGAAGACGGTGAATACTACTGAAGGTCATTAGAGAGAGAAAATAAGGAGAAAAAGAAAACATGCTAGTATGTCAATAGTTTAAGAATGATTCATACTTTATTTATTAATCCTTTCTCTTTACAAACAGTTCAGAGGACACCTTTCATGATTTTTTAGAAAGTTATTTTCAAAATTTAATTAAACAACTTATTTATCCTTTTATGTCAACAAAATTAGCATCAAAATGTTTATAATTCAAATTTTAATTTTATCTATGCTTTAATTTCTTAATTTGACAGAAAATATTTAAAAAAAATGCCAAATATGTTTTTCTTTTTGTATCATATGACATGTCTTCTCGTCTTATTGCTCAATTTATATTTTATTAAGCTTACCATACAATGTCTATAATGGTTAATGAATTAGGAAGTCAAAGTTCAGACATTTACAAGCTATAATGTAAATAGAGAACCTCAAACTTGCTGAGATATCAACATATTTTGCAAACTTACGAGAGTAGCCCTGCTCACTACTTTATTCTTTTGAAACCTATTGTTCACTCGTGTCTACTTTTCTTACATATATGTTTATAGCCAATAGAAAGAGCACAATCCATGCTACATAAGTCTGACAGTCATTTCTAATTGACTTAAAGGGAAACCTTGTAGTTTGACTGGAAGTGTTGAAGTCTGTTGAGTAAGTTGTTTCTCTGAACAGAAATGAGACTTTTTAATTCATATATAGCTTAGTTATAAGGCCAGGTAAATTACAATGGTTTTATGTGTGAAAGTATAGTAATTTAATACTTTTTTTTAGTTTTCTAAAATGTATTTTTGAAATCTAAAAAATTAATTTGTCTTCTCTGCTCCACTCGAGGGAATAAACAAAGTTTAGTAAGTACAACGTACGAGTACAAATCGTAACACTGTAAGCACTAGAAATCATAATTTTTCTGTATTTCTTATTTATTGTGTTATGTTGTAAGAAAAATAACTAAAACTTAAGCATTTATGAGTAAATAGTAATAATATACATGCACGTTCATAAGCACTTACACACTTTATACACCTATACAACTAAATTCCAACCAACCTGAAAGGATAACTAATATCCAAATACCTACCAAGTTCATTGAAACAGAGCAATATCAAAAACATTTTCACACACTTTAGACAATTCTTATTGCAGTCACTGTACCATAAATAAGCCAATAAATTCTCTCCTACTGTGTTATTGGAGACAGGTTTGTGATAAACTCTGTGGGGAAAATCCAGGTAATTGTACTGCACCAGCTTATTTGCTACCAATGATGTTATATTACGGTGTTACATAAACAGTAATGGCAGAAGCTGCAATTTATTGCTTTATGACCAGCATGTTTCTACTTAGGCTGCTATCAGTAAATAAATGTAAAAAGGTTAGGGGTAGAAATTCTCAGGGTACGTACTTTGGAACATCATCATCAATACCAAAGAGGACAGAATAATACTACTCACTCTGTTTCACATTTTTCAACCTTTAAAGTTTTATGGTGATTTTGAGCTCAGTCAAATGACCAACCCTGTATAGAATTAGGATAGAGAAAATAACAGAAAAAATACTAAAACGTTTGATATTTATTTAGAAGGTTTTGGATATAATGGAAAGGAAATTTGAAAATTTTCAGATGAAGAAAAGTATTTTTAATCTTAACTTGAAAATCACTTTGCACTCAGAGCTGTCAACACTCTGACTCCATATGTTCACAGACAAATATTTAGTAAGAATACTTTATTAAAAATTCTGATTTTTTTTCTTTAAAATACTTGTAATGTTTACTGAAAGTTTATATTATATGGAAACTCCAATGGTCACTTTGAGGTGAAGTGGTCAGAGTAATCTACCGAGTCAGTAGCAAAAAGAGTTAAGTGGCTTAAAATATATGTATTTACCATTAATGAAAACTGGTGAAAGACTCAGTGATATATTGTATTTTTAGGACTGCATTATACATAACATCTTTATGGGCACAAGTATGTTCAGTAAGATGAATGGATCATGCAACATTTGTACACCTAACAAGCATGTTCAGTAAGATGAATGGATCATGGAACATTTGTACACCTAACAAGCATGTTCAGTAAGATGAATGGATCATGGAACATTTGTACACCTAACAAGCATGTTCAGTAAGATGAATGGATCGTGGAACATTTGTACACCTAACAAGCATGTTCAGTAACATGAATGGATCATGGAACATTTGTACACTAATAAGCATGGATAGCTTTTACAGCAAAATGAAATCCTATTCCTCTCATTATATTGTCTTCAGAATACATCAGAAATATATCAGACGACTTTAACTTGTTGGTCCCATGAATAATCTTGTAAACTTTAGTAAGATCACCATGTCTTTTTTCTCAAGGAAGAACGAGTTAAATAAAAAATTAACCTGCTATTGGAAGTTTCTGATTCACAGTACTTGGGTTTTAATAAACTGAACAAATTCGAAAACGTATGGCAGAATTTTATGATATTTTGGCTACAGTTGACTAAATAGTTTGTTAAGAACTACATTATCTTTTTAAACCTCTTATACCTTTAAGCGAAATATTTAAACTTAAAATTACACTATCAGGAATGCTTAAGGTACAAAAAGAAAAAAATACACACATAGAATTATACTTACGTTTCAATCCTTTGGTTATTAGAAAATTAGCAAGGTCAGAACCCGAACTCTGACGTCCCTCTTTTCGATTCTGCTCTTGATTATTTTCATGATGACTGATTGAAAGAATTTTGTCTTTCATAGCTCGGCGTTGGGAACAATCTTTCACTTTATGTCCAATCTTTCCACAAGCACGACACCCTCTGTCATTTGGTGGTAAGCCATCAGTCAACTGCCACCTATCAAACAAGTAATCCTAAAAAAAATGTATGAATAAAATATCAGTTTCTTAAGTACACTTTCATAAAAATATGCAAGGTTACAACGTTTTTTCATCTCTATTATATCCTGCTGATCTTTCCAAAAACAGGGATTGCATTATATAGCTACAAATAAACCTGTTAATCTGTACTGTCTGATTATTAACATTCTAGCATAAGTATTTTCCTATTATTATTATTGATGTGCTTCTCCACAAACTGATACAATTTAAATAGCAAATTTTTCATCCCTGTGATTCTTGGTATTGCCAACGCATGGCAGCGAACAAATGCTATTTTGTTATTGTACTTAGTTTATCTTTTTACAATATGTATACGAGTATGACATATACTCCACTGATGTCAGTTATATGCAGTATAATTCTCTCACGTAAAAATCAACTTTCCACATTAGAACTTAGCAACACAATATTTCTTCAATCACCAACACATAATGAGAAATTATCAAAGTACGTAAAAACCTGCCAAAGCAAATAAAATGTATGAACAGCAGACAGTGAACATGGTGTTTTCACATGGGAGTTTACTTGCTGTTTACATGAAGGTAAATGGTTTCCTAACACAAGTATTTAAATGCAATATCCAAGTGTACCTTGGAAAATAGATGAGAGCCAAGATGAAACGGGAAAACAAATAAACGTAAATTTACTTTCTTAATGGATTTTAATTAGTCACTGATGCGTGTTCAGGTAGGAGTAATATGAAAACAAACTACCACAGTGTTTGATATCACTAAGCTTTACCCATTCACTAGGATGTATATTTCCCAGTTCTCCCATCTCCTCACGCTGCGATTGGGACAAATGTTTCCCACTGTCGACAATGTTTATGTCTTCCTCTTCTGGGTCCAGATTCATGATCCTGACTATCATCACTAGATGAAAAGCTAACATCCTCTTGTTTAATTGCCTCTTCATTATCATGTATTTGAACACCACTTGACTCACTTTAACTATCTTCTAAGCTATCTAGGTCAAGTATATTTGCATAGCAATTAGGGTCGCTACTTGCCACTCTAGTGATGCGGGCATAGTCAGCATACAGTTGTGATACATTCCACTTAGACATCTCGTTGGTTACTGAAGGGATGAGTGGAAGGGAAACCACATATCAACATTAGGTGGGATGCCAATAAATACCTTCCAACTTATTTTACTGCCATACATCATGTGATCCAATTCTGAATGACAACAGGAAACATTTGTCTCAGTCGCAATATAAGCATTGGGAAATACAAGTCCTAACTGCAGTGAAAGGGTTAAGTTAGGAGAAACACAAAACTTTAATAACAATGAAAATATGCTAGTCATATATTTTAATTGTTTACGTGTAGTTATCTTAACAGCAGCGCATCTTCTTAATAATTTTTCTTTTATATGTTATTTCTTATGTTAGGAAACACAAACCAAAGGTCTTATGTTACAGAAACTTGTTAAAACCTTATATATTCATTTTCAAAAGGTGATACTTCTCTTGCAGTTTGGTAAGGGGGCATATTGTCTGTATGCAATCTCTTTCTGTAGATCTTTACATTGCAAAATAATCAGCAGGTATCTTTGATGTTTTAACATTAGCAGGAATAAACATATAATATGTGAAGACTGGAATACTATTATGGCTTTGTATTTCCAAAAATTGTTAGTTGATACTTAAGTTTATCGTAGATGTACTCGTAAGCTGCAGAATAATGAAGCAAAAACATAACTTATATATGTAACAATAGTATTTTAACACATGAATGCCTTTAGATTGGAATAAACTTGATAGTGTTATGGTAGAAAAAGATCTTAGTGTTTTGGTTGATCAGTTTCTTAAACAATCAAGAAATGTGCTATTGCTAGTGGTAGGACAAATAGAGTTTTAGGTAGTTTTTACAGAAATATTGAATTGAAGACTATAGAAGTATGAATTTCATTGTAAAGATCAGTGGCTAGACCTCAATTGGAGTACTGTGTTCAGTTTTGGGCTCCTTACCTTAACAAGGACATTGAATTGTTGAAAAAGGTTCAAAGAAGGGTTACTAGGATGATACCTACGAAGACAAGTTAACATTATGAAATTATTTTCTCTTGAAAAAAGAAGAGTTAGAGGGGATTTAACTGAAGTATTTAAGATTTTTAAGGAAATTGAGTGTCGATGAATCATCTTTTTTTTTTATATTTCATAAATAAGAAGAGTTACATAATTTTTATTCATTGATAAAGAACTGTAAAAACCATTAATATACTAATAGTTTATTAATATATTGTAAAACATGTAATCTCATGTCTTCTAGTATTTTTCTATGTTCATGACACTGTTTAGAAATCGGGTGTGACCCATTGGTGACCAACCCACACTTTCATCTGTGTGGGTGTTATAAATCTGAAACTTAAACCAGCTATTTGATAGAGTAATCATAAAGGTTATGTATGTGGCTGACCGGTTGTCCTTGTTAGCAGTTCAACTTATGGATATCTAGACATTTCGGATTAAATTCTATATTAATCCTGGATAATCAACTTTAGCCAGTTAATCATAAAGGTTATGTATGTGGCTGACCGGTTGTCCTTGTTAGCAGTTCTAACTTATGGATATCTAGACATTTCGGATTAAATTCTATATTAATCCTGGATAATCAACTTTAGCCAGTTAATCATAAAGGTTATGTATGTGGCTGACCGGTTGTCCTTGTTAGCAGTTCGAACCTATGGATATCTAGACATTTTGGATGAAATTCTATATTAATCCTGGATAATCAACTTTAGCCAGTTAATCATAAAGGTTATGTATGTGGCTGACCGGTTGTCCTTGTTAGCAGTTCGAACCTATGGATATCTAGACATTTTGGATGAAATTCTATATTAATCCTGGATAATCAAGTTTAGCCAGTTAATCATATAAGCTAAAAGTTATTTGTTCTAAAATAGTGGCATTACAACACACTTGCAAGGCTCTATGCTATGCCAGAATATTAATGTGTTTGTTGACATGTAATGGGCAATTATTTAGACTTTTGACATGAGATTTATGCAAATATATTCTAAATGCAAGTTTTCTGTTTCTCCAACATACATCTGTTTACCACAAATACAGTATAATAAATAAATAACATTACATGAATTCTTTACATTCATGTGTAATCATACCCAAGAGCATTTTTTAAATTTCTATAGGTGTAACCGATATCAAAGAGTAGCATTTACGGAGCTGTTTACACTTACATAAACACGATCATAGTCAAGTGGTGGTCTTTCAAGAGGAGTACCAAACATTTCTCTGGCACGGATAAAGGTCTTCATGATGTAAGTATGCACTGAAAAAAACATTTATTGAAGTCAAGGACATCAGATGGAAAAACTTAAAAAATTCTCTGATGATCAGTTAATACAAACATTAATCTATAGCACTTAATTATCTGCTCTGTACTTGTTTCATAAAAAAACGTTGTATAAATAAAAGACACTTTTACCATAGTTATATGAAGGAAGATCTATTTTCAGCCTACTGCATCAGTTATTAAATAAACAGTTGTGTTTCATGATGTAATAAATGTTATTTGTTACATATAAGTCACAAATTATATTGCAATTTTTATTATTATGATTTTAATATACTTTTTATGTCCACCTAATACTTCATTTGATAATGAACTACAGATTAAAGAGAATTATGAAATATTTAAACAATTATCACATAAACTTGACATTATCTCACAAGTGTATTACATACAACTAAAACGTAATCCAGGAAATAGTGTACAACATTTCAAAATAAACAGCTATAGACACAGTAGCTTTCAGAATCAAATACAGTAAAATATATTATATCTGTTATTACATATAACTGAATATTGTTTGTAAAAACTGTAATGATCTCTGCAAAATAAAGAAAATACTTCCAATAGAGGTAGTATTAATGGCAAAAACTATCAGAAAAATTTTCATTATAAAATGAGAAAGCAGCATAAAATTCAGCAGATACATTATAACTAATTCAGAATAAGAGGCTACTAGAAGGAAAACTCATGCTTCGCGTACCAAACATTTTTTGATAGTGGTATGCACACAGTTTATAAAATGTAAAAACAATGTTGTGTACTTACAGTAATTCAAACAGTTAAGTGACTTACAGAGACTATTCATGTAGGAGGTTAGGTAAGTTAAGTGACTTACAGAGACTATTCACGTAGGAGGTTAGGTAAGTTAAGTGACTTACAGATTATTCATGTAGGAGGTTAGGTAAGTTAAGTGACTTACAGAGACTATTCATGTAGGAGGTTAGGTACATAAGAGGGTTAAACTTATTCTAAAACACGATACCCACCAAACACTTCTAGTACAAAAAAACAATTTGAGATGAATGGTGTGATCAAAAATGAGAAACCGATCGATTTATCTAGTAAGAGACACCAGATCTAGCCACACTTTCAAAACCCAGGTATTGAGGGCAAGTATTCAAACTCAACAGGGTGACAGTATCGGTATTCTAAGCATCTATATACAAATAAAGAAATTTAAACATAAACACTTCTGAGATGGTGCTCTAAGGGATGACAGATTATTCCCCAAATACTTTTTCTTTCGAAATGCAGAGTACTATCTAAACCCACCCCCCTCCATTAAGTACATGGTGACATCATTCGTTCTTACTTACTCCTATTTCATTTTTATAGTTTAATGAAGTTTAAAAAGCTTCCCAAGCATCCACATACACTACTCTTTAAATTATATAGATAACAAGTAAAATTTGTTTGACCAAATGCAGGCACTGCATTAACATTATAAGACTACAGGCTTACCACCGAGTTATTGAAAGCCCACAATAAAGGTATATTGAACACAAAAGAATAAACCATTGAACTTCTGTGCTATTGGCTTTCAGCTTACAAAACATTTATAATTATCATGTTATTGTTCTCCTACATTTGTGAATTTTTACTATGCTGTTGTATTTTAGGTGCATGTATTTTAATTAATTATTTTATACGTAATGCGACACACCATGAAATACTTTATATCTGTTTAAATCTTGGACATGGTGAACAGCTATTGTTTCCCTTTAAGGGTATGGTTCATCCAGCTCTAGTAATAATCTCTGACTTAAAAGGGCAGCAATGCAGTTAAATTTACTTGAATGGACAGAAACTGCCTGTTGTAGAACACAAGTATAAATGATGATGTTTTGAAAGTTTTCTTCTTTTCATCTTCAGAATCCTTTTAAATTAACAAAATAAAACCTTCCCTAAACAAATTCCAGAGTAGAGGTGATTAACCTGTGGCTACCATTAGTTGAATCTACAGGAAGTCTCTCCACCAATCAGAAACAGTGATAAATCGACCAATCATAACATGCCTCTCACAATCCACCAGGATATTACAAAGACCACTATACACATACTGATTTGAAGACAAAAGATGAAAAAACTTTCAAAACGTAATCCTCTATACTTATGTTTCTACAACAGGCAGTTGCAATCCATTCAGCTAAGCTTTATTATAAAATAGGGCAGTTTTCTTTTAATATAAAGAGGCATTTGAGGTGTAATTATATGCATAAAAAAATGATCATACTTTAAAGCATTTAATTCTCTATCAAAATATATATGGTATATTACATACGATACTTAATACTATTTACAAAACAGCTTTAGTTAGACTCAACTTTCACATAAAGACACAGAGTTGTACCTTTAATATTTTACTGTATTACATGTGAATATAACGGTGATTCACACAATTGTGTCATAATAACACAACTCACAACTTTTAAACATTACAGTAATACTTACTCTTTCTGGAGACACCTGATCCTAGGTTGTGATTCTGGTCAAAAGGATCTGTAAACAGTTTGAAAAAAAAAGATTATGGGGCATGATATGATCCGAATGGATGTACAGCTGTTGGGTTGAGGATTACAATTATTTAATACAATTTAAATCTTGAACTTTGACAGTTTAGCAGATGGTACATATAAATACATTACCAACTGAAAACAAGTCAATAAAAAGACACTTTTGATCAACATATCAAGATACTTTAAGACATTATTCCTTTTGCTACTGTATACTACTATATAACATTGAATATACATATATATATATATTTAATTCTTATTTCTTTAATCCTACAGGTAGGTCAAAGTG